GGCTGGGCTGCTTTTGCCTGGGAGGTACTGGAGGGCAGGGCAGCCTCTTCCCCTGCCCACTGCCCACTCTTCAAGGGGATAGGGGCCAACTTGACTGAGACTGACAGCGTCATGCCAGAGGCTTCTTACCTAGTTTATCCCATCTAATCATGGATTTATTTTATTTTATTTTATTTTATTTTATTTTATAGACAGGGTCTGGCTCTGTTGCCACTGCAGTGGTGTAATCATAGCTCATTGCAGCCTCAAACTCCTGGGCTCAAGGGATCCTCCCACTTCAGCCTCCTGAGCAGCTGGGACTACAGGCACGCACCACTGCCCCCAGCTCATTGGACTGATTGATTGATTGACTGATTGATTGTAGATAGAGTATCTCGCTTTGTCCAGGCTGGTCTCAAACTCCTGGTTTCAAGTGGTCCTCCTGGCTCAACTTCCCGAAGTAATGGGATTATAGTAGTGAGCCACTGCACCCAGCCTTTAATCATGGAGTGTTGATCATGCAATGACAGGAATGCCAATTATCAGAAGAAGAGCAGGGATTTGCCCCTCTCTGCCCCCTGTTGTCCTGAACAAGACACAAAGGGACAGTAAACACCATGACTAACAGAAACCCTGTGACTCCTGCGTTTAAGATCCTAGACTCTCCGAACCACAGGCCTGCTGGGGAGTCATCAGGTGGTCTTTTGGTTTCCTGCCACACTTATTTCCCGGCATCCCCTTCTGGGTGTGCCAGTCTTTTCTCCCTCCCCTTTTCTCTTTATCCAGGGAAGAAGCCCAGTATCTGCTGGAAATAGGGAACCTTAGAGTTGCCCCACCAGCAGAGTCCCCTGAAAGCCTCCCTTAGAGTTGCTGAGAGGCTAGTTGGGGACCAGGGACTCTGTATGGACTCATGGGCTATTTTCTCTTGGCTTGAAAAAAAATGATCCACATGATCTGCCCTCCTCTTATCGTGTCTGGATGACCTGGCACCTGAAGCGAGTCCTGGGGCAGTGACCCTGCTGGGCTGTGCTCAGGGTTCAGCATTAAATCTTAGGGGAGATTTAGATGAGATTCCAGAAAAGGGAAAATTAACCTCTAGTGACAGGAAGCAGATCAGTGATTGTCTGGGGCTGGGATGGGGTGGAGAATTGACTGCAAGAGGTGGGAGGAAACTTTTTGGGGTGATGGGAATGTTCTAGATTTTGATTGTCATAGTGGTTACACAGGTGTGCACATTTGTCAGCATTCATTTAATTGTTAACTTATTATTGATGCATTGTTAATTTAAAAAACCAAATCTTAGAACAGATTGGCAGCAAGTGCCATGTTCAACAAATGGTCAGGCAGGCACCAGTTTGCTTAATTCTGAGGACTCCTGTTCAGCCACAACAAAGGACATATAAGCCATGCAGATTCATGGAAGACTGAAAATGAAGTAATACTGCACAAAAAAGAAGGAACTAGGGTGGCTATGCATAGTGAAGACAACAGCTCTCTAGGGCTCCAGGTCTGCTCTGTGCAGAGAGGGAACTCACGCCCTGGGAAGAAGCCTTCCTTGCTCTTGGTTGGCCGGGATGTTTTGAGCAGCTGGGACAATATCCTGCAGAAAGTAGAAGGAATAATCACAAGGGAAAATGGGGCCCTGCTAACATGTGAGTAATAAAAATGAGAGACAAAAAAATCCAGATGGAAAACTGATCCTGCCTTTACTTAAAATTCTGATATTTTATTCACCTTGGACTTTTTCCATTAATGCAGATTTTTAAAATATTTCATTAAAACATGATTTATCTTGATTATTTGGGCACTCTCTTAAATTGTGCAGCCTGGGCAAGTGCCTCACTTGATCACTGATGTCCAGCCCCAAGGGAAAAGCAGGAAGAGAGAACCGGCCTCTAGTCCAGAGAACTCAGCAGCGATCAACCTCTGCAGGCCTGGAGTGGGGAGAAGCACGGCTAAGACCACAGCCTGGGGGGACCCAGGACAGCCCTGGAAGGCTAAGTGGGGTGGGAGAGACCTGCCTGGGGCTGCAGCTAGGAAGACCGCTGGGCTTCGGGGGTGAGGGCAGTACAGACCGTAGGAGCATTAGGTGTGCTAGGCCCAGGGGTGGCTCCTGGTGACTCACCCCTTTGAGGGTGGCCCCACTGTCTCCCTTCTGCCCTGCCGAGCCTCTAAGTATGTAGTTTGTTTCCCAGCTGCCCTCAGGCCTGGAGGGAAGCCCGCCTATTGTGCCAAGGGTAGTGGAGAAGCTCAGAAGTGGGGCGCAGGGTGGGGAAGGGTAGGCAAGGGCTCCAAGCAGGGAGTTGGGAGGTGATTCAGGGGTGAAGCTGCTGATAGACTCAGGAGGGAGGAGCACGGGCCCAAGGTGGGAACTCTGAGGAAGATAACAAGGCTGGGAATAGAAGGCGCAGAGCTCTGTTTCCCAGGCTGGAGCCCCATGAAGGAGCTCCCAAGGCATTGGGGTAGTGGTGGCTGGAACAGCCATGGAAGCGGAGAGCTCGGAGTTTAGTCTCAAAACAGTAGTGAGATTTTCTCACGCCTCACTCTCCTGGCCAGCTGCCAGGAATGTGTGCTTGTTTGCATGGCTGACATGTTTTCTGTAAAACTCCCTCCACTCCACATGGAAATGACCCAGGTAGGAAATGACCAGGGTACAAACGGGCCTGACGGCTGGCCCACACTCTCCCAGGGGTTCGGGGAGCAGAAGGTGGGTCCCGGTTCTGCGGAGTAGTCAAAGGTGGGCCTGGTAGGCGTCCTTCCAGAAGGCAACCAGGGAGCTGGAGGAAGAAAGCCAGGGACCAAGGCCAGAGAGAAGGAGGCAAAGGGAAGTGTGGGAGGCAGAGAGGGCCTGGCATTGTACAGTCAGGAGGACAGCAAAGGAGGCCGGGAAGAGGGGGCCAGGAAAGGGCCAGGCCAGGGTCACGTGGGGAAGTCAAAAGCGGTGCAGGCCTCCAAGTCCAGCTCCATGGGGGAAGCATCCAGGTCTTGCGCTGCCCCAGCGCCTTCACTCTGGAAATAGGAAAACCACCAGCAAGGAATGTCATGCCTCAGTGTCTCCCCCACCGCCTGCCCAACACATCAACTGTGTCTTCTCCCAGGGCAGGGCCCCTGCCTTTCTGTTCTTTGCCCACCACCCTCACAACCCAGCAGCCACCGGGGGCCCGGTGCTGAGTAGCTATTGCTTGCTGAACGGAACTGCCCTTGGAGGGGATGTCACATGGGTCAGGTGGCTTGGTCAGTGAGGACTCTGGGATAGGGACAGTGTCCCTGATGGAAACCAAGGAAAAGAGCAAGAGGTGAAAGTGACATTCCTTCCCAGCCTGCCCAGTGCCCCGTGCCAGACACTTCCTCTGGTTCTATGTGTTCTCCTCATTTTCCCGACGGTGACCCTGTCAGGCCTTGCAGGCTCCCCTCAGAGTTAGGGTTCTCATTCCCTCCGACTCGCCCAGACCCCCGAGCCTGAGGTTGGTGAGACCTTCAGGGAAGGGCGCTGGGGGTGCCCTTTGGAGACCAGTGGCCTGCTTGGGGGATGAAGTGGAGGCCTTCAGATCTGGCCTGGGGGTGCCAGGGCTCAGTGGCAGCCAGAGAGGGGCTGGGCTCCTCCCTAGGAGAGAGGGAAGAGGAAGAGCTGAGGACAGGAGGCCGGTATCTCCTCAGGAGGACGGATGGGAGGGGCCCCTTTGTCATGGTGGGCCGGTGGATGGGGCAGGAAGGGGATGTGGCCTGTGGCTGAATTCTGCTGTCTTTGAAAGCCAGAGAAGTGGCTCAGACAATATGCCAAGATGAGAGAACTCTAGGGTTCCTGCCTGGGCCCTCCAGGGTGCTCTCCTCCAGCCTCTTGCCTCTGGGTTAGATTTCCCTCAAGATACCCTCAGCTGGGGCACAGTTTCCATTGTGAGCTAGAAGTTTCTGTTTTCTTGAATGTAAATGGGGGAGGATGGTAGTCACTTCCTTTCAGTTTTTGCTCAAACGTCACCACAGAGAGCCCTGTCTGACCATCCTGTTCCCAATGGCCAGGACTCCGCCTGCCCTGCCTTCTCGATCCTTTCGCTGCTTTATTTTTCTGAACGGTACTTCTCACGTTCTAGGAGGCTGTGTAACTGATTTATTGATTTCTGTCTGCTTTTTCCCCCAACCCCCAAATCCTAGAGCCTTAGGGCAGGAGCCTTTGCCTATTTTGTTCCTGTGTCCCCAGCACCTAAAGCAATGCCAGGCACTCAGTACATATTTGTTGAATGAACACGTGAAGGATGCGTGTGAAGTGTTTCACGGGACTCTTGGCATCTTTAGATTACTGCTGCTGCTGTTGTTCGCTGTGTGGCTTGAGCACATTCCTCAGCCTCTCTGGCCCGCTGTCTCTCCATCTGTAAAATGAGATGATTGAACCGCTAAAAATCCATGAGCTTCCTTCAAACTCTAAAAATCTTGGTGCCTCCAAATGCTTAGGAAAGTTCTTCCCAAACCTCACCAGGAACTCCTTCTTCTTTTTTGCAGTTCTCAGCAGCAGCTCAGCTGGGATCAGAGGCGCTAAGCACTCCTTTTGCAATAGCCCTTCCTCTACTTCTTTTGACTCTGAGGATCAGAATGGGTATAGGTTTGGGACTATGAATCAGCCCAATATTTCTTGGAACAGTTTCCATTCAGATAGTTATGTTTTATTTCATTGACTTTGATGTGTTGCTTCTAGCACTTTATTGTTTTCAATAGGGGGTGATTCATTATGTGCATAATTAAAGGTCATTTGATTTTCATTTATTTGTTAAGAGTTTCATAAAAACAGAGTTCAGGAAAAAACAATTGCCAGACCATGTGCCCAGAGACCATGTGCCCTGATTTGGGATTTTGACACCTGGTCCTTGGAGATGAAGGTTCCCACTGTCCTTCCATAGGTGGACATTCCTGGCCTGGAATGTCCCCTGCGGGGTTAGGGTCATCCCTCAGAAGGCTCAGGAGCATCTGTTTCAGGGGCTCAGGTCAACAGGACCAAGACCGTCCTCTCAAGGCTCTGCCCTTTCTCTCAGGGCCCCTCTGAAGAAGCAGCTCGGAACACTCCACTGCTTCTGTGGGGGCAGTTTCAGGAATAAAGGCAGATTCAGGTTCCCGGTATTCGGAATTCAGCATTCGCTGAGTAACTGGGATGGCCTCGACGACGAGGGGGCGGAGGAACAGGTCTGGCAAGTTCTGTGTTGTTTATACTGGGGATTACTTCACGTATCCCAACCGGCTTCCCCGCCCCGTTTGGTGGGGGCTGGCCCTTGGCCCTCCAACCCCTTTACCCCACATGCCTGGGAAGCCAGGGGCCAACATGGATCTTGTCCTTGACATCAGCTAAGCCTAGAGGACTCTTCCCTCAGAGACCATGGAGAGGGACAGCCACGGGGTGAGTGCGACCTCAGGCCTCAGGCCAGATCCTCCCAGTGCTGAGGAAGCAGGGCTGAGGCTGGGAGACAGGTGGGACGGCCACCTCTGTGTTTCAGGTTCGGGGCAAACTGGCTGTGCCTCTTCTAGTTTGAAGCTACTTAGGATCAAGATCTCTTGGTCTCCTTTTAACATGGTTCTAGAAAGAGCCCCTGGGAGGAGAAGGTGCTGGGATTTGGGGTCTGGCTGGTAAGCACCCCAGGGCTGTGTGGCTGAGTCTCGGGTTCCTGCTCTGTGGCCTGTGAGCACTTCCGCCGGGCGTCCATGCTGTTACAGCATCAACTTGACTGGTTGGGAATCCAGGCTAATCTACTTTAATCTCATTTTTGCTGGTTGGAAAATCAAAAACATCCTAACTGCAATTCAGGGTCACCTTGTCTAAACCCCTCACTACACTCCTAAACCTTCCCAGAAAACTGTGACTTTCTGTGTGCATTTAAGATTTTCAAGGGGATGTTTCAACCTCCCTTGGTCACTTCTTTCAAGGCTTAATAACTTTCATGCTTGGGAAGTGCTTCCTGATGTTTAACCACAAGTCCTGCCACCACTCAAGCTCCTTTCTTCTGCTGCTTTTGGGGTGGGAGAGAGCAGCTAGCCTGTCCTCTGAAGGAAAGCCAGTCATACACACATGAAGGCTGCCAAAGATTTTGTTCTGTGCCTCCACTTTCTTTTCTTCCAGGAAATCCCTTTTGTGCTCTCATTTCTCCTTTAGGTCTTGTTTTCTGCCCCTCTCCAAATTCTCTGTACCTTACTGATATGGTGGAGCCTGGGACTCTGGGAAGAATGGGTCGGCACTGGGTTTGGGAAACGTCAGCTCATCCTACGTTCTGGCTTATAGTTGTCTTGCAGTCCATTCTGAACCCCCAATGCGCTTCTGCAAACTTTACCATCATTTTTCCCAGCATTCTTCCAGCCCCTTCTTGACTCTTCTTTCCCAGGCTACCTCCGTTGCCCTCTGTTCTGAGCTCCTTGGTTCATGTCTCTACCTCACCAAAGTCACTTGGCCCTAGGCCTTGGGAGGTTATCAGAGCCTCTTACTGTTGAGCAGTAAGCGGGGTACACAGGGGCATGCTGAAGTTGAACACTTAGTCACAGCCATGGGGCTCCTCCTTGGCAGTTTGCTGGGAGCCTAAACTAGATGGTCCCTAAACCCAAGAGTGAGAAGGGCTGAGCTATCAGGAGGGTGGCCATGCTCCCATTGGAGTTGGATAGTCTGTCCTTGAGACAGGGTGATGGGGCGATGTCTTCCCAGGAAGCTCATCTCTTCAGAGTCAGGGACCAATCCGAAGGTTGCTGGAGGGTTACAGCACAGAGAACAGACTTCACTGGAGAACTCCCAATTAATCTATGAATTAAGTGTCAAATATGATGACAGATACCACGTTCATTCTGAAAAAAAGATTGTCCAAACTTATCTTGGAATGGAAGAATGGAATCATTACATCCTTATTTAAGGTTCTTAACTTTACTCCCCTATTTAAGATGGAACCCCCAAGAGAGTGAGCCTATAGTTGGGGCTCGTAATCCCATCTGCAGCAGATTTCTTAACCTTGGTTATATAGGAGTGGGCTGGGAGAAGCTGGTTGCCTGAGCTTGTGCCTTCTCCCTGAGGGCTTTATTGCAGAGAGATGCATTGTGATTTCTATCCCTCAACTCCAAAATGTCGTGAGGGAGATGATGGCCAGTGGGCTTGAGCCTGATGGCACTCCTCTGGCAGCTGCTGGATCTTCAGAGGGACCTTGGAAAAGAGGTGGAGAAGGGTCTCGGTTTCTCATATTCAAAAGAAAGTTGCATGTTGTGGTAGACAGAGAACTGACCACATTCCCCGTCAGCTTCGGGCAAGCCACTTCACCTTTCTGTACCTTAGTCTCTTCATCTGTAAAATGGAATAATAATACTACTCTCAAAAGAAAAATGTTGGACAAACTAAATTTAACAGAGTTTAATTGAGCAAAGAACGATTCTCAAATGGAGCAGTCCCCCGAAGAATAGATTCAGAGAGATTCCCACACAGCTGCGTGGTTGGAGAGGATTTATGGACAGGAAAAGGCAAGTAGCGTTTGGAAAATGGAAGTGAGGTACAGAAACAGCTTTATTTGAACACGGTTTGAACAGTTGGCTGCCTTTGATTGGGCAAAATTGGTGATTGTTAACAAGAGTAGCTTACAGTCTGTGTACACGTCCAGTTGAGTTATAGTTCATTATGTACGGAGAAACCTTTTGATCCAAACTTAAAATATGTAAGGAGGCAGCTTTAGGCTAAACTTAATTTAATACCTACCTCAAGGAGTCTCAAAATAGTGTCCTTCCCATAGTAAGGCTCATTTAGAACAGCATCTGGCATAGAGAGATAGAGATAGATAGAGATAGAGTCACAGAATATTGAAATTTATCATCACTGCCTAGAATTTGGCGCTGGCTTTTACAGATTTGGACAAACATCTTCTTCTCCCTGTGCCTCAGCTTTCCCACCAAAGAAGAAGGTTGGACAAATTCCCCCCTGAGGCTCCCTTCTGGCTCCCTGACAGTCTGGAATTACATAGAACGGGATGGCAGGTGCGCCACACCAGATATGTGCATTTGTTCTTGACAGCGCATATTTTGTGCCTTTTCAAAATGGGTCACATTTTTAATGATCAGAGCAGTGCAATGCTTATTAAAGAAAGACTGAATTAGACCCATTGATGAAGCAACGTTCCTTTGTGGAGTGGATTTTTCTTACACTGGGCCTTCTTCAAGTGGAACAGGTTTGAAATTAGCCCAAGGCTACAGGTGCTAGGGACTAGTGAGAACCATCTGGGGGCGCGGCGCTGGTCCCGGATGAGGCACCCTTTCCAGAGGGGGCTGGGCAGTTCCCAAGATGGTTCACCTGCAGGCTCAAGTCACTCTGCCATCTCCCAGCCCCAGGCATCCCAAGGACCCTGGCATCTGCCCTATGCCGCTGTCGGTGTGCAGCCCTCACCTTGTCCTCTATTTCACATTGTCATTGGTGCGGAGCAGACTTCCCTTGGCACAGCCACCTTGCTTTCCCCTGCATTGTCCCCTGAGACTTGGCAGATGTGAGTGTAAGCATGTGGGAGTGTGTGTATTGGGCCCTGGGCTGGGGAGCTGGGTGGGAAGGATGACTGTTGTAACAATGGCCACTTAGCTTAAGTGTCTTGTTTTGGCAAAACAGCTTCCTCTTGGTATAGCAACAATGAGGGTGGATGTGCCTGGACAAGTGGGCAGGGCACTGGTGGCGCAGGCACGAGGGAAGCCACCACGGGGAACCCAGGCTTTAGCAGTCAAGCGGAGGCCTTGACAGCACCAGATGGGGGCTGGTTTCCCTAGGAGGGAAGCAATACCCAAAACTTTAGCGGGGCCGCCATTATGTACCAGCCCTGAGTGACTGGCGGCAAGAGAAGGCACAGACACAGGGAAACACTGAGGCAGCAAGCTCCTGGGCAATCAAATATTATTTGTTTGGCAATAGTGGGCACTCCATGTTCTTTACAGCATTTGATGGATGAATGAATGAATGAATGAATGAATGAATGAACAGGGAGGCGTCTTGATTCTGGTCTAACAGGGATTTCCCAAGCTTTTTCATGTGCACAGGAGGCGTCGGAAACTGGAAGGGACTTCAGCACTTACCCTGGCCAGTGCCTTTCAAGTTCTTTGTAGTAGCTGCCTCTTTTGTTCAAATGAATGTTACGTAGACTCCACTGTATGAGACTGGAAGGTTGATCTTCTCTGCTGAGGTGGGGTAAGGGCTCAGAGCCCACCACAGTCCCCACCAGCTGGTCTCCCAGGCACCTCCATGGAAACTGAAATGCTCTGTGGAACCCTGTTTGAAAACCGCTGATTGTCCAACACCCTGATGTTATAGATGAGGGAGCTGAGGCCCAGAGGGGGATGTGACTGTCCCCAAGGTCACATGCCTGCCCAGGAGCAGAGGTGAGGCTCCCCCGGCCCCCCACCCCCAGGTCGAGGCAGGCCCTGCAGCTTTGGCCCCTTCTGGAGTTCAGTCTGCCTCAAGGGCTGACCTGAGTCCCTGAGGTGTACACTGCGTGTGTGCTGGGGATGCTGGTGGTGGGTGAGGAGGTGGTGGGGAAGATGCCTGTGTGCTGAGGGGAACCTATATTTGTGGGGTTTCCCTGGGTTCAGGGAGGGGAGAGTAGGAAAGGGCCTTGGGTACCTGGAGGCGCAGTGAAGCCTGGGTCTAGCCGTGAGGAAGGGAAAAAAGTCACCCAGTCCAGCATGGCCCTCTCTGGGAAGGCTTCAGGCCTCCCCTGCCACAGACCAAGGGCACCCCAGGTTCCCAACAGGCAAGGAGGGTTTTTAGGCTTTGTTGAAGGGAACTCCTGATCTTTCTTAGTGCCCCCAGCGCTTCCAGAAGGGTTTAGGGAGGGGGGTTTCTTCTTGCTTAGCCCAGAGTGCTGGGTTGTTGGCCCATGGTCTGCCTGTGCCCACCCTATGGGCGCCCTTGATGCCCAGGGTCACTGGGAGAGAGACACTGCCACGGGGTTTCTGTCTGGGAAGGGTCTTTTTTCATGGAGGCTGGTAAGGGACAGACAGAGGAAGCGCAGAGTGTTGTGTAACAGCCCAAGGATGAGCGCCAGAAGATCAGGGTTCTAGAACTGGCACTGTCCCCAACTGGCTGTGTGACCGTGAGCAAGTCACACAGCTTTTCTGGGCCTTTATCGCCTCATCAATAGTATAAAGGGCTTGGGTAGGGTTTCTTTTCTTTCCTTTTCTTTGAGATGGGGTCTTGCTATGTTGCCTAGGTTGCTCTTGAGCTTCTGACCTCAAGCCATTCTCCCACCTCAGCCTCCCAAGTAGCTGGGACTACAGGCCGGCGCCACCATGCCTGGCTTAGAGGGTTTTCAGAGTCCTTGCAGTTCTGACAGCCTGTGATATGCCCAACCCTGGGTGGTAGCTTTACGAAGGGATGGCCCAGGGCTGACGAGGGAGGCCCAGTTGGCTTAAACTGGACTGAAAGGGGCCCTGATGCACCTGCCCTCAGGCCATGAAGATGCATCATCGCAGCTGCTGCTGCCTGCTGGACATTCTTCAGGACTAGCGGGAGAGTTTTTTTTTTTTTTTAATACTTTAAGTTCTAGGATACATGTGCAGGTTTGTTACATATGTATCCATGTACCATGTTGGTGTGTTGCACCCATTAACTCGTCATTTACATTAGATGTATCTCCTAATGCTATCCCTCCCCTCTCCCCCAACCCCACCACAGGCGCTGGTGTGTGATGTTCCCCATCCTATGTCCAAGTGTTGTCATTGTTCAATTGCAGGATAACTTTTTATGGGATCGCTCACACTGCAAGCCCAGGCTCTGGGGTACCTGAAGTGCATATTTCCCAAGTTCAGGCTGCTGCTTATGGCTAGAGAACTCTCACTATGCAGAGCCTGGGGCTCGATCCACGGCAGCAGCTCCATAACCACTGAGATGAAGCAACCATGAGCCCGCATCACTCAGCAAAGACAGAGGCCCCCCTCTCCCTGGCATCACTGGCTGGGCCCCCAGAAGGTCGAGGAGAGGCCAAGGGCTGGACGTACTCAGGGGTTGGCTAACTTACTACCATCCCTACCAGGTAACGGCCCAAGGGGCAGAGTCTGCAATTGGAAACCAGAAAAACATCCCATTTGCCTCACAGGCGATCTACCCCTGGGAGCTGTGGTGTCGAGAGCCCTAGGCTGGAAGCAGGGGGCCTTGCATTTTAGTCCGTCCTCTACTGTAAGATGGGCCTGAACAACTTTGGGCAAAGCACACAAACCTTTTGGGCCTCTACCTCTCAGTCTGTAAAGTGGGAGTAAAAATGCTTACAGGCTTCTGTCCAGGGACGGGCTTTGGAAAGACTCCCGGGGCCAGGGGCTGCTCCTCTTAGCCCTCCCTAGCTTGCCCTTCACTGCTTTCCTGCGGATCCCTGCCCTGCCTTCCTGCCATGCTGCTTCCTGCCCCAAAATGCCTGGAGGGCCCTGAACAAGCCTTGGGTGAGGACCCTTGGGAGCTGCAGAGGCATAGCCAGGTGGTAGCAGTGACAGCCTGGGGTGTGGGCCTGTTCCATGGCATGGTAAGGGCTTACAATTATGTTACTGCAGGGGGTAACCTCAGAGACCACCCCAGGGGTAGGTGGGGAGGAGAGGCACAGCCAGGAAAGAATGGTTGGCAAAGTTAGGCCAGGGACGTGGCTCAGAGTTGACCACACTCCCCTGCTCCGCCCTGTGCACCTGCCCTTGAGCAGGCTGAGAAGCCTTTGGTCTGCAGGCAAGTTGTGGAGACACCAGGACACATCAAGGAGTTGGTCATTTCACTTCCATTCCTGAGTCTCCGGCTCACTGCCAAAGGCCGGGATTTGGGAAGCTTGGGTTCTGGTCCTGGTTCTGCCCCTTGTAGGTTGGGACCTTGGATAAGAAGTCTCAGCCAGGCGCAGTGGCTCACGTCTGTAATCCCAGCACTTTGGGAGGCCGAGGCAGGCACAAGCTCAAGAGATGGAGACCATCCTGGCTAACATGGTGAAACCCCATCTCAACTAAAAATACAAAAATTTGGGCATGGTGGCGCGTGCCTGTAGTCCCAGGTCCTCAGGAGGCTGAGGAAGGAGAATCTCTTGAACCTGGGAGGTGGAGGTTACAGTGAGCTGAGATGGCGCCACTGCACTCCAGCCTGGCGACAGAGGAGACTCTGTCTCAAAACAAACAAACAAACAAACAAACAAGTAGTCTCCTCCCTTCCCATTCCCCAGCTGCTGAAGGCCTCTACTCTGAGGGTGAGGTCAGGCCTCTGGTGGAAAGCTAGAGGCTCAGCAGTTGTTCTCCAAGAATTGGGGCAAAGAAATGAGTTAGTGCTATAACAGGTTAGATATGAGGAAGAACTTCCAGCAGCGTGGGACAGCAGGCTGTGAAGTGCCTAAAGAAGGTTGATGTGGAATCTCTTACTCAGATGATCCCTGAAGATGAGAACTCTTCTTGATGTCTGGGAGGGTTTGGGTTGAGGGTCAGAGTCAAGGGGTGGAGCGGGGGCCTCACTCTGGAGGCTGCTCTCATCTGGTTTGGGGGCTGCCCTTTCATCCTGATGCCCCTGTGGGGACTTGTAGTTCTCTTCATGGGCAATTCTCCTTCGGGTCTTGAGGCTCCAGAACTCTCCTCTTGCCCTGGTCTGGGGGCCCAGTGGCTTTCCACCTGCCTCCCAGGCCCTGACAGCAGAGCACTTGCTCTAGCCAGACCAGAGCTAGATACCCCCAGACTCAAGGCCTGCCGGGCCTCCATTCCATTTTTGGATGTGTCGCCCTTTCTGCAGCTCTTGGCTTTCCACCCATGCTCCCTCACCACCAGTTCCCTCTCTGGCCTGACTCCCTTCTCCTGTTCTAGCTTTACAGCTTTCCCCAGCTCCCTCCCCCACCTGCCCACCCACTTTCCTCTGGGCCTCTTCCTGATGGGGCAGCTGGCGCTGGATGGCAGGGTCCCGTTCAGGTAGAGACAGCCTGAGCTGCCTGGGAATTAGAAGACTGTGCGCGAGTTCCTACAGACCACTAGCTCGTCCAGGTGGGCTGTTTGGTCTCTCTGAGCCCCGGGTCCTTGTGTACAAACTGGGGGTAGTAATTCCTGCCCAGCTTGCTAACTGACAGACTTGTGAGGATCAAATCACATAGTGGTGCAAAACTGCACATACAAGCCCTGAAGAGACGAAGGTAGGTCCTGTGGATGTTTGTGACACTATAGGTCAAGGCCCTCCTTGCTCCTAGCAGGCCTGGTTAGAATCTGAGCTGTCACTTACCTGGTGTGTGAATCTGGGCATGTTCTTAACCTGCCTGGACCTCTGTTTCAATATCTGTAAAATGAGGCTAACCATATCAACTGCAAAGAGCTGTGAAGAGGTGGGAATGGGATCCCAGAAAGTGCTAGTGGGCTGTTATCTTTGTCACTGTTTGACACACATTTATAGACCCGGCTCTTTCATGTGTATCACCCATTTATCTGGGGGAAGGAGGTGAGGTCTGCCCATTTCACATGCATGGAATCAGGCACTGAAGGGTTATGTCGCTTGCCCAGGAAATGCAATTGGGAATGGAGACAATCAGATTCAAACAGATTTTTCCATAGCAAGCCCAGCAATCTCACAAGCAAACAAACAAAACCCCACTACCGGCTGGGTGTGGTGTGATGCCTCACGCATGTAATCCCAGCACTTTGGGAGGTTGAGGCGGGTGGATCATTTGAGGTCAGGAGTTTGAGACCAGCCTTGCCAACATGGTGAAAGCCCATCTCTACTAAAAATACAAAAATTTGCATGTTGTGCACATGTACCCCAGAACTTAAAGTATAATAATTAAAAAAAAATTAACCAGGCGCGGCGGCGGGTGCCTATAATCCCAGCTTCTCAGGAGGCTGAGGCAGGAGAATCCCTTAAACCCAGCAGAGGTTGCAGTGAGCCAGGATTGTGGCATTGCACTCCAGCCTGGGCAATGGGGTGAGATTCCAATAGAAAAAGTAGCCAGGTGTGGTGGCACACATCTGTAGCCCCAGCTACTGGGGAGGCTGAGGCAGGAAAATAGCTTGAACCTGGGAGGCGGAGGTTGCAGTGAGCCAAGATTATGCCACTGCACTACAGCCTGGGTGACAGAGCAAGACTCAACAAACAAACAAAACCCCTCCATCACAGCCACTGCTCACCACGCCCTCACTGTGTGTTGGGCATTTTACAGGTATGATCTGTGACTTCAGTACCATGAAGTAAGGTGCTTCACTCCAGCTTACAGATAGGTAACTGAGATGTAAAGAGGCGAAGTCACTTGCCTGGGGCACCCAGCCGCCTTAGAGGCAGGCCAAATTCCAACCTGGTCTCTCTAACCCAGAGCACCTGAAGACCCACCTGACCCCACTGCTCTGGGCCAGTAGGCACCTCCTGGTCTTGGCAGGTCACAGGGCCCAACTGTGGGTCACACCAGAAAGTACTACAAGACCAAGATCCCTGTTGTAACCCTCCGCCCTATCCCCAGGTTCCCAAGGTGTTCCCGGCCCTGCAGGGCCACGGGGCCCCATTCTTAACCAATCTCACAAAGGCAAAATGCGCACTCTGTACATGCCATTCACGAAGACTGTGCCGGGAAGCTCTTCTGACTCAAGAAGGGCAGGAGACTTAGAGACAAGTAGGCATGGGGTAGAACCCTGACTCTGTGATTCTGCAAGCTGAGCTCTGAACCTTGGCTTCCCTATCTGTAAAATGGGCTTCCAAAAGTACTAACCTCCCAGGGATGTGGTGAGGTCATCATGAGGCCACAGATGTGAAAGTTTATTTTCACCTCTAAAGTGCCATGCACACGAGTGATTAGTATTTTATTGTCCTGGCTTACGGGAAGTCCCCCTGAAGTTGGGGAAGACTTAGAGTGTGCACAAAAGAGGAAGGGAGACCAGGCAGGCCGGTGAAGGTGCCACAGTGCCAGGATCCCTGGCAGGAGCCGAGGCCCAGGCCACCACCAGAGGGAAGGACAGGGCCTTCTGCAGCTGAGGCTTGTCCGTGTTATGCAAAGACCTTAGTCTGGCTTTGTACAGCATTCTTTTTCTCCCTCAGATGAGCTCACACTGGCGCTCTGCCCCTTCAGTTGGCAGGTCAGGGCTTTCCTTAACTAGTGCTTAACTAGGGATTACAGCTCATAGTAAGAACAGTATTTTATAATCTAACGCACATACATGAAAGTAAAGGATGCAGATGTAGGAGGTGGAAGGGAAGAGGGCAGAGGGGTCTTTGCTTTCCCCATAGGGGACCACATTCCCTTGATACGAGGTCTCAGAGTGAGTGACCAGCCCAGCAGCCTCTTCCTTTAACCCTTCCTAGACATGTGTAGCCTAAGCAGGTGACCCCCAATCCCCGGGCACATGGCCCATTTCCCTCCACCCTTCTCTGTAGGTCCTAAGTGGCAGGGGAGCCCCTAGGGGAGCTGGGGGACAGCAGGCTCTTTGAGCTTTCATTCTATCCTTGGACACAGTCCTCCTCTCAGATGTTTCCTTGTCCGGGGGGCTTTGCTCAACCCCTAGCTGCTGCCTCAGAGCATTCATATCCTAGTGCAGCAGAGCCGACAGCTGAGGTGAGTTGGCAGGGGAGCAGCCTGAGGGATACTCTTCGATCTGCTTTCAGAATGCATCTCCAGTGAGAACACCTTCAGCTGGAGCGTCTCCAGCCCAGGCATCTCCAGCTGGGACATCTCCAGGCCGGGCATCTCCAGCCCAGGCATCTCCAGCTGGGACACCTCCAGGCCGGGCATCTCCAGCCCAGGCATCTCCAGCTGGGACACCTCCA